CTTCATCGTACCTGATTGCTCTGTATTTTCGTGCATGTTTTTGACAGTAAAAATGATGTGTGACAATTTTTTTCTGTTACTTTTTGGATAGGCCTGTATAATTTAGAAATAAATGTATTCTTGTTCTGTTTACAGGAAAACAAGTGAAAAATCCTAGATCCCCAGACTATGTTCCTTCTGTTTTCACTTCAGCGCCACTGTCACCAAATATGAAGGAAGCAAGGGCCTGTGAAATGTATGATAAACAAGAGGCACAAGTGGAGGCAGCCAATGCTTTGCTCTTCCTGCAAGGACAAGGACGTTTTTTGGAGGACCATGGCCAGACTAGAAGTCAAGAAGAGCCAGAAAGTGTTTCTTCTTCATTAAGCAGCTGTGATGAAGAGGATAAGACTGAAGATGATGTAAAAGAAGAAATCTCACTGACAAGTGTAAACCAAATGGGAAGCCCAGTCAAAAACATTCCCCCTGACTTTCAGTCCAGTCTTGGGGCTCTTAAGAAAGAGAACATGGAGCTGAGGGAATCGATAGAAAAGATGTCTCTCACTGAGGCGTCATTCAGAAATGATCCAGAAAAGGTTCGCTTCTATACGGGACTGCCAAACTACTTTGTGTTTGAGACTGTTATGTTGCTTCTCATGCCACATATGAAAGGAGACAAAAATGCAAAACTTTCAAAATTCCAGCAACTGCTCTTGACGTTAATGCGACTCAGGCTTGATCTTAAGAACCAAGACTTGGCCTATCGTTTTGGGGTCAAGGTTGCCACTGTGACCAGGATTGTCCATCGGATTATTAACATAATGTTTACCACCCTCGTGCCCACTGCTGTTTTTTGGCCATCCAGAGCAGAGCTCAGAAAAAACCTTCCTGCAGCTCTGCGTTGCACGTACCCAGACTGTGCAGTGATCATTGACTGCTTTAGAGTGTCTCTGGAAAAAGCTCTCAGTGTGGATGTGAATCAAGAGGTTGCATCTACAGCATTGACTGTGCCAGCTCATGCCACGGTGAATGAGCTTAAATATGTGATAGGTGTTGCTCCTCAAGGTGTGGTCATGTTTGCCTCGAGGGGATCACCGGGTCACGTCAGTGACAAAAATCTTGTTGAGAGTTCAGGCCTCCTTTGTAAGCTACTGCCCGGTGATGTTGTGTTGGCTGAGCATGACTTTGACATTAAGGACTTGGTGGGGGCTCGCAAAGCCGAACTCAAAATCACTAGTAGAAATTACTATGAAAATTGCCAGAGTTTGCAGGATGGAGAAAATTTCTCACTGGTTGGCACACTTTCAGATAAAGTGAATGTTCACAGGCATGTTGGAAAGGTAATAGACATGGTCAAGAGGAGATACTCTATGTTGACCGGACCAGTGGAGAGTCCCTTTACGGTCGTAGACCACACTTCCAATGTGAGCACTTTTGATAAGATAGTGCAGGTTGCTTGTGCCTTGAATAACCTGTGTATTTCTGCTGCACCCCTGGAATGAGTGCTCATATTTGCCACACTTTTGCGAAAGCGACTTTTATTTGTACATTGGCTGAATGCACCTTTATTGTTTCCCTATTTTAGCGGAATACTTTTTGTTAAAAGAGGATCTTAACCTTTCTTAGAACATTTATGCAACCTAAGGACTAGTTTATACCAAACATATTCATCAGGCACGGTTCACTGGACAATCTCCTCTCTAGTGTTTTTACATAAGGAACTTCCTTAGTTTCTAGGCTGACTTTGTTGATGCTTCAGTTTGATAGAGACATTACATCCATAGTTTAACTTTAATTTAGTATTGTCGAGAGTGAAGAGTGTATGCTGAGAATTTAAAATATTCAAGGCACTAAAGAAAGCATCTCAGTCGGAGACGGTTGTATTTTGACATTAGCTGCCCTTAAGTTCCAGTGCCTTTGTCCTTGTGATGCCTATACCATTTTTTTTGTTCTATATAGATATACACTATATTTTTACATTAACCCAGCAGTACTTTGTTCTTTACTTCTGATGTTGCCTTGTCACTCTACCGTGTAAGTCTCACAAAATTACAGCTTAGTTATTTGCATTGCTATGTGCAATATTCATTGTTGTGTTAAATCAACATTTAGTAACATATAGCATGATATATTCACTCTGAATTTTGACCAGTGGAGCCAGCGATTTCACTTCAATGCTGATTACAAAAACATGCTTTTTTTTTTTTTTTTTTTTAACGCTGGGCGTTAGTAGTTTTTATGGATTTCTATATTCGATTTACGCTCGCAAATCCTTTGTAAGTGTGGGAAGGAAGTTGTATTTGTCATTTAAAGCGAGATAGGAGTGAGCGCATTCTCCCTGCGCTGGAATGCGGACTTGCTCCACGGATCTGCGTTCCTCTCGCTCCTGCCCCGCAAAGCGCTGCAAGCTCTAGGCCCTGCAACTTTATTCCGCCTTAAAAGTTACTTTGTGCCTTTAAAAGCATTTTGAATATTTACTGTTTGTAAATCTGATGAGAATAATGTGAGATTATGTACGTAAAACCTTTTTGGTTATTCCGTTTTTACAGCTGGTATGGAAGACGGACGATAAAACGGAATCTTTACCGAAACTCACCATAACAAATATCTTAGCTTTGACTGGTATAAACACCTGACTACATTACAGTTATGTTCAAATCTCGTGAAATTTCGCATCGGCTGAGGTGGTGATAAAATAGAAGTTTCCACGAGCTGCACGCAATGTTGTATTTTCACTCGTGCCTAACAAACTATACCTCCCCTAGGTTTTTGTTTATTTATCTCGCGCAGTCTGATGTTTTAGTAGCAATACTTAAGTTATGTACTATAACAGGCCGATTACATTACACATTGACTGTTTTGAAACGGAATAATTCACTCCACCCACAAAATTATCGTGTTTTTTTCTCGTAAAATGTGCGATGACATGTGGTGAGATCTGTATTCATACTTGCATTTGTTGTTTTTGTCTGCTTTGTTGTCAAAAAATATTTAGGTTGATGATAAAATTCTGAAATTAAGCAACAACAGTGGGGCTACATTAATATAATTAATATAATGTCAGTGTGATTTTGTTGTGTTTAAATGATTTCATAATTTCTACTTTGCAAGGAAGACAGTGACAAAACTCAATAATAGGAAAGCTTACAATAAAGGTATTTTTGTGTTGATGTTTACTGTGTTTATTTTAACAATATGCTCTAAGAATTTGTTTATATTTTGCTTATGTATGTACATATGAAAACGTGGATAAAGTGCAAGAACTCAATTTTCAACAGTAAACTTGCATGATTTATTTTATGGATCATGCTATAAAAATTAAATGGCTTCCAGTTTCCATACATAATCATTTGTTCAGAACAGGGGAACTGAAAAGGACAATCAGACCCCATCACTAGCTCTGAGAAATAATTAAGCAAAAGTGTGAAATTGTAATGATTTGACAAATAATATTCTCTAGTTAGAAATAAAGGTAAAAAAATCAATAGAAAATGTTTGGAATCACTCATCCATTTCATATTGTGCCGATGGAGTTAATGGTAGCTGAAGTTGGATACCACACCATTCAGTGTCTTGAAATGAAGGAAAACATTTATAAAATGGCTTTTGACATTTAACTTTAATGTGGAACATTGCAGAAGCTGTGTCTCTGAATGTTTATGCTGGTTGTTTGTGGGTTATTGCAGCAGTGTGTTTGTGGTCACCTGTACAGTCTAACTGCAGATGTAGCATCATTAAAAGCTTGTTATTGAATATGAATCTATTAAATGTTTACTTTTCTCATGGTTGATCTCCGAAGGGTACTTGGATTAGTGTTTGAAGCGGAGCTAGAGTGTATTGCTGCTGTTATGTGGGGAATGGAAGGCATGGAAAGTATTGTGTTGGAAGCCTTGACAGTAATGGCAATTATACTATATTTGTTCTAGACTGAGCAATGCATTTCCAGTATTGAGCACCCACATTCCAGAAATATGTTTGTTCTAAAAGTCCTTTCTTCTTTGTTTTACCAGAAGAAAAGAAATAAAAATAAATGTTGTGAAACATTTGGTATTTGAAGACCCCACGAATATCATGATGAGAGGCATTTTTCACTCCTGTTATGAATTTGAGGTATTTCCTTTAGAAACAGGAAGTTTGAGCGGGATATATATCGACGGGCTTGCTTTTAGTTCAAGTCACAGTCATGAACCATGATCAGTAGTTTTTTAGTCTGTTTCTCCAGAACAGAACATTCTACATTTTTATTTTCAACATTTCGGGGTTGGTAAGAATTATTATTATTTTTAATATTCTTAAAAGAAGTCTCTTATGCTCACCAAAATACAGTAAAATAGCAATATTGTGAATTTAATAATTTGATTCAAAGTTGAATTTTCAGCAACCATTACTCCAGTCTTCAGTGTCACAGGATCCTTCAGAAATTGATAATATTAAGGTAATAAGAAATGTTTCTTGAGCACCAAATCAGCATATTAGATCAGCATATATTAAAAAAAACAAAGTGTTTATATATATATATATATATATATATATATACAGTATATGTGTGTATGTTATAATTTTTTTTTTGTCAGGATTCTTTGATGAATGGTTTAAAAGTTTAAATAGAAATCTTTGTATAAATGCCTTTACTGCCACATTTGTTTTGCTTTAACATCAATTTAATGCATCCTTACTGAATAAAATAATTCATTGGTTAAAAAAATTGACCCCAAAATTTCAATGTTGTTATAAGATAAAAGGATATTATATAAGTTATGACACTCTTTGTGTTGTGTAGATGTTTGATTTTGCATCTACAAAAAGGGTTTGCCAATGCCATATGACCATGAAAGGATCATATGACCAAGGAAGTAACAGCACAGATGTGCATGTGTTTAGTGATAAACCTACCTGTTGACAGTGGTGCTAATGTCTGATCAGACTCCGACTGTCAGGCATTTGACATAGAGTAGTGATGCAGGGACTTGGACATGCCTGGACCGCACCCTGACCCTTCTGTCTAACACTGTCTCCACAGACAAAGATGCATACCAGAATGGGATGGAACAAGTACGTAGACGTAACCCCTCACATGTCTTGGGAGGAGGGGGAGTGTGAGCCCTGAAAGGGGTGCTGGGATGTGAGTAGGCCAGCATCCAGCACGAGCCAGAGCCAAAGAGGCAGCATCAACAAAGACGAGCAACAACAGGAATCCTAATCTTCCCTTGCATCTTTCCCATTGCAGCCTGTTATCTATTCAGGTCAGACTGAGCCTGGGTGTGTACAATTCTGTGTCTTAGTGTATGATTGCACTGCCGTTGTGTGTTTTCTTGTGAGTAACTGGCTAAATCTTTCTGTGTTTTTCAAGTGTGGAGAATTTGTGTGTACAGGCCACTTTCACTCATGAGGCCTAAGACCTTCCCTGCCGCCCCGTATGTGGGCAACACGCGCCAGCGCCTGCAGGAGATCAAGGAGGGACTGAAACAACCTGCAAAGCTGGTGAGCCAGGCGCTTCATGGAGGGAGCGCTCGAGGGGAGGGGGGCAGAGGTGGGGACTCTAAGGGCAAAGACCAAGCTGGAAGGCAACAACAGCTCCGGCAGCCTCAGAAGTTCAACAACTACCAAAATGCCCTGCGAGAGATCCGCAAGTCTCTATTGCCTTTTGCCAATGAATCAGGCCCGGGATCCAACTCGGGGCATCCTGGTGAAGTCAATAGACAGATGCTACAGGATCTCGTCAATGCTGGTTGTGATCAGGTAAGCAATGTCTCTGTTGGATTTACTGTATGTGTGTGTATGTATACGAATTTCAGATAGTAATGTAAATAATGATATAAGAAATTATTATTATTTTTTAAATAATATTTATGTAGCCTGTATGTGAGTGTATATTTATTTCTGGTTGGTAAGATAATAAAAAAAATGTCTCTTATGCTCAACAAGGCTGCATTTATTTGATCAAAAAATACAATAAAACATTAATATTGTAAAAAAAAAAAAAATGCAGTTTGAAACATGATTTCTGTATTTTAATACACTACAATGATAAAATATTTTTTTTTTCATGTGATCGTAAAACTGAAATTTCAGCAGCCATTACTGTTGAAATGTTTCACTTAATATTTTTGTGGAAACAGTGACCTTTTTTTTTCAGGATTCTTTGATGAATAGATACTTTAAAAATACAGCATTTCAATCCGTTTAACATGTCCTTGCTGAAAAATAAATACTTCAAAAAATCGTATTGACACAAAGAGATACAGTGAGATACAATAAATGTTTTTTTTTGTTTATATGTATATATATATATATATATATACACACACACACGTATACATACATACATACATACACAAATGTAATTGTATAAACTTGCATTCAGAAATGTTTCAGAATTTTTTTTTGAGCTCTATAACCTTAAATATAAAATATTGAGCTTTGAACATTGTACAGTAGACATCCAAGTGCAGTGCATATCCTGTCTTTGCCAAGTCTGAAATCATTACATAATATTGAATGTAATGTTGAAATAGCAGTTTTCACAACTAATTTGTTTTTTTAGTTGTTTTCTTGAAGAGCTCAGTGGAACATTTCTGCCCCAAAGGAAGTGGCAGAAGCCAAGTCAGCCCTTCCTTACCTTTAACAATCAAAATACAAACATTTATACAGAATTGTGTTTCAGTTGTACTTGCCAAAATTAGTGTTGGATGATAATAGTCCAGTTAATATATAACTATATGCTAGATCATTATACTGTAGTATTTTGTAACTGATTGTTTTGATGTATCTGTGTTGCTGTGCAATAGAGGTTGTTGTGCAATCACTATTTAGTTAAATGTGTTACATGTGTTCTGGTCCTTGTATTGAAATCTAGTGGCTGAATATTAAAGGGATAGTTCACCCCAAAACTCTATAATTTACTCACCCTCATGCCGTTCCAAACCTGTATGACTTTCCTTCTTTTGTGGAACACAAAAGAAGATACTTTGAAGAATGTTGATAATTGAACAGTTTTGGTGACCATTGACTAAGTATGGACAATAAAAAAAGGAAAAACTGAGATATTTCATCTTTTATGTTCACAGAACAGTGTTGTTGTTGTTGTTGTTGTTGTTATTATTATTATTATTATTATACTAAAATTAAAACCGTAACCTTGAAATTAAGCTGAAATAAAATTAGAACTTATTATTGAATTAGATTTAAAATAGATCAATTTGAAATGTTGCCTTAGCAACTAACTGATAGAAGTTTAAGTACTAAAATTACTAAAATTAAGTTAAAAAATATAGAAATATTAAGGTATATAGAAATATGAAAAAAAAACTAAATAATAAAAATGACAAAAGCACATATTCACTAAAATTAACAATTTTAAAATGTAATAAATACTCTAATAGTATATAAATAATATCAAACAACCGCCCACTGAAAAAAGAAAGCCATACAGGTTTGAAACGACATAAGGGGGAGTAAATGATGACATAATTAAAATTTTTTGATAATAGCCTGTTTATTCATTTGTGTCAAACATGCAGGAGACCAAAGGTCCTATAGTTTGTTTCAGTCTCTCTAATGCAGACCCATTGTCAGATCATTTATGAATATGTGTTGGAGCTTTGCTACTAATGTTCGGATACAGCTCTGTGAGCAGCCCTGTGATTGCATTAGGCATGTGAGGAATGCTGTGCTCAAGCCCATGCACAACACCACCGAGAAATCCACCACGGCCCAGTGGAATTACGAGGCCTAGCTGAAGAGAGCCAAGCTGCCTTTATGACATGGCTAAATAGAGACTGGAATGGGTCTTTTTTAGGTCTCTGGAAGCTGAAACATACTATCAGATGGATAGTATGGAGTCAGACTTGATTTGGATCATGTTGTCTGGATACATTCATGACTGGCTTATCTTTTGCTGTCGGTCCTGATGCTGGCTGATTATGATATGTATGAATGATCATTTTATGTACTAGTGTGAGTTTATGTAGTAAAAATTCATTAATATTATCATTAGAGTAACATTTTTGGGTTAAAACCCTCCATTTGAGAACAGCTACTTTAAACTTAATAAATTTTTTGCCCTAAAGAGGAAAAAAATGAAAAAAAAAAATTTCAGAACTGAGAGCATAATATTTCACAGGCATATGTGAATTTCACAATCATAGGTTGATTTGTTTTTGTCCTGCATTCATGGGACAGCATGTACGAAAGCAGTACACACAGAGGAAGTGCTCAGTTCATTCATAGATGGGTGGTACAGTTTCCCCAGTACAAATACAGTAAGCAGGGATGTCCCTTTTCTGGTCTTTTGAGACTGGTTAAAGGTTTTTATTCAGTCTGACTTCATGTCTCCTCGTTTTCAGATTTAGCGTAGCCAAAAGTTCATTGAGTTTGAATCTTGTCCCTGTGTCGTGCACCACATGCACCTAGACCTCCCATAACATCTGGGCATACATTTCGGCATGTTTTTATTAGTAGTAATTTAGTCATTATTGTGAAATGACTCAGTTGTGGTGTGTGACTCTGTATTTTTAGTTCATCGTCGTCTTCTGACTAGGGCCTGTGTTCCTCCCTGACCCTCCGTACATTCCAGGAAGGTAAATGGCCGCCTCTGGTCCTTCCCTGAGCTGCTTTATTTTGGTCGCTATAGTTGGATTTCGCCTCACAAATTACACAGCAATGCGGCTTACGGTTACATAAGCACCTCTGAAGGAGGAAATGTTTTAGTTGGGGAATGAAAGGGGGGGGGGGGGGGTGTAGGAAGAAGATGAGTATGACATGTGTTGTGGATTTGTGGTTTCGAGCTTAGGATATGAAAAGCTGTCTGCGTACATCATGCATGTGATGCTTGCGTACTTGTGGAATATACAAGAAATGATAAATGTCTAGTGCGGTGTTGGCATATCGCATTTGACATAATCTAAATGTTTATATTAGCCTTCTTGCGCAACCCAATTTGTCCAGGATCTTGAACTACAACTGGTCAGTGCTGTGCATTTTTAAGTTAAAGTCAACCTGAATCACTATTCGACTTTTGTTATGTGAGTGGAACAGAATATTTAACAAGAACTAATGTAGAACAGGGCTCAATTTTTTTCTTTTTTCTTCAGGAGTTGATTACATCACTAAAGGTGGGCAACATGTATCAGTGGTTGGTGGGAAGGGGCTGAAAAGTAAGAGGTATTGAGGATGTCATCCAAAAAGAAGACCAGAGCAAGTTATTGTATATAAAAGATTACAAAGACATTTGTTTTTCTTAAATAATAATCTTTATGTCGGCGCCGACATTCTTGTGGGCGGTGCGCTGACCTATAACGCAATTACATTGTGGGCGTCCCGAGTTCGAATCCCTGCTCGAGGACATTTTATCAGTTCATGCATGGCCAAAGATTTGAACCCATGACCTTGGCATTGCTAGTGCTATGCTGGGCTGTTTTAGCTACTGTTTGAGCTATTTTGCTACTTTATGTATGATGTTCCACCTCTCCATCCACTGATGATGATGCCCATCCAGTCCTTATCTCAGAGCCCTCCATATGGCTTTCATTACCATGTTCAATGGTGGAACGTGTGAATTTGGGTCAAAGTGGAAGCTCTTAAAAATGAATAGTGATGGAATATAGTTATGTCACTTTATTCAAGAAGACTATAGACTGTTTACTTTTTAAAGTATGAGTTTGGGAAAAAAGGAGAAAGATATGTTTGTGTTTCTGTGTGGGTACTTACCGACGCCACAGTCAGAAATTGAATGTCTAGTGTAGCATTGAGGCTTGTGGTCATGACAAGGGTGTAAATACAAACGAGATATTTTGGGACCAACCAAATAAATGCTTAAGGCACATTGGAACAGAATGATCTCAAAAATAAAGAGAGGAGGGACAATTTAAAACGAGATTGAAGCATAGATTTCCACATAGCTGGAATTCTTGCTTGCTGGCTCGTGGAATGTTCTGAACATCTGTCGCCATGACAGTGGAGGTCAGAGCTGAAACTCTGACCTGGGGCCAAACCAGACCCAGCCCTTCCCGAAACCAGACTGAAGTCCATGTTGGATTGTTGTGTGTGTGTGTGTGTGTGCGCGCGCATTTTAAAGAGGGAACGAGAGAGTGGCGCCTTTAAATCACCAAGGGGGACGAGAAGGCACACACCCTTGGAGCGGACCGTGATGGAAGGCAACAGAAAGCCATGGCACTTCTGAGAGCAGCGATCACAGACAAACAGCGTGTGCTCTGAGTATTTCCCGTGTGTTTTGTACAGTTCCGACTGTGTAAGCTTTTAGACAAACTGATGGCAATACACAGAGTAATCTAAACTACTCTGGGAATGTGTAGAATGCATGTGGAGTGTCCCCAAGGTTAATAGCTGCTTGTGTACGACCATTGATTTTTACTCTGTCAGTGCCATCTAACCAAAACTCTGGAATAGTCATTATCACTCTAACTTTCTCATAGTTTCATAATATGAAGCTACTTTGAATGCATAGAAGACATAAACAGAAGTATGTGCGGAATTAGGCACTTATTCTTCTCCCCCTCCCCCCCCACCCTATTTTCCATGGCATGCTTGGTGCAGTATTATGTTTGACCACCAGAGGCAGTGTAACACAGCTTGCTGTGGTTCTGTAGAATTTGGTTTGGGCAGAATGTCTTCTGAATGAGGTCATATGCCATTCAAGGGGATTTCCTCATATACAGTGGGGCAAAAAAGGTTTTTTTCCCCACTGTAGGTGTAGGTCTGCTCACAGAATATTGTACATGTCTGAGTTGTTTTATTTGAAATTGCGCCATCACAAAATGACAGATAAACAGAGTTGTTGCATGGTGGGTAATCGTGTAAAGATTCAAGTTTAAATTAAATTCAATAAATGTGTTCCTGTGGCTCAGGGGTAGAGCATTGCGTTAAGCAGCGCAAATGGTCGTGGGTTCAATTTCCAGGGAACACACATACGGGTAAAAAATTTATATCCTGAATGTACTGAATGCTTTGGATAAAAGTGTCTGCTAAATGCGTAAATTATTATTATTATTAATTAAATTATAAATAATTTACATTTTTGTAATATTTTATTACTTTGAATTTAGTATAATTATAAAAAATGAAGAAAAATAAGTTTAAAATTAATGTTCCATAAGTATTACCATCAAATCTATGAATCATTTCAAGGGTCACACAGTGTGATGTGTGGTCAGATGTGCCCAGCTCTGGTCATAGTGCACTTGTGGGCTGGCACAGGAAGGAGCTTGTGCTAACTTGCAGAGGAAGTAGCTGCAGGGAATGTTATTTTAACAATTATCTGCTGTGTGTGTATGTACTATGGGTTGATTTATATTTACGTGCATGTTCATGTGGACATATGTGTTTATCTAAATAACTGAAGTGCATTAAGGTCATTTTTGCTCAAGAATGTTAACTAAATTAAACTAGAGCATTGCCTTTTAAGTGAAGGAAGTCTGACTTTGCCTAAAATATAAAAGAAAATTTAAAAAAGAAATGTAATTTTTTTTAAATATAATTTGGTCTCTCCAGTCATGAATTTCTCTGCAAATTAATCTGCACTTGATGGTTGTCCTACATCGGATGTGGGATATTTGTGGGAATTTGGTGAAAGTCGTGGCCTCAGCAGCTTTGCTTTGCTTCACATAGTGATTTAATTCAAACTGATCTCTGTGGTTATAACAAAGAGTGCCATGCCTACAGGTAGTTGTAATCTCGTTTTTAAAAGTACTAGTTGTGTTGAATCTGAAGTACCTTTTTAAAAACCTTATATAAGTGAAGTTGTGCCTCATTTGTGCATGATGACAGGAAATGCAATGTGAAAACCAAAAAAATGAATGCATTGCTTATTTTCTGATAGTTCTCTGCTTGAATTTCTGAAACAGGAAATGGCAGTCCGTGCCCTAAAACAGACTGGCAGCCGTAACATTGAGGCAGCATTGGAATATATTAGCAAAATGGGTTACCTGGACCCTCACAATGAACAGATTGTACGTGTCATCAAACAGACTTCCCCAGGTATGTGCACACTTTAAAAACATATTACTATATTCATTTTATGAATGATGCACTGCCTTTAAACTCAAAATGACCCTTTTTAAATTCACTACAGGAAAAACTGGCATGCCAAATTTAATGGACCACAGAGCGGCAATGGAGGGCACTGGGGATGGTGCAATGCCACCTTATCACCAAATGGGAGCACCACTGTATGAGGGAGCTGGTTATGGGGCTGAGGGTGAGATGGCTCGTGCATACATGGGTGGACCACCTGTCATGAACTACATGCCACCGCCTGCCAACACTTCACAGGGTCCTACCATGGGAAACCCAATGGGTCGTCCCGCAAGTATGGGTGCCTACTCCACAAGCATGGCTCCCCAAAATAACCCTGGGAACCCTATGTACACCCCTGGTCCAGCCCAGCAGAAAGGCTACCCTGGTGGGATAGACCAGGCCATGATGGGCTACAGTGTGCCTGGACCACCAATGCAAATCCAGCCTCAGCCCTCAGGAGGACCTGGCACTCATTATGACTACAGGCCTCATATGATAGAAGCCTCCAGCTACGGGGTAAAACGAAGTGCTTCTTTCCAGAATAAGATGAACCCGCTAACATCCGAAAACTATGTTAATATGCCAGGCAAAGGAGCAATGGGCCAAAATGCTGGTGGCTACCCTCCTAACTTATATCTTCCACCACATTCACACCCACGCCAAGCCAGTCCCACCTCACACCAGGTTCACATGATGCAGCGCTCCCCTGGAGCTATGGGTGGTGAGTTTTCTGATGTTCCTCAAGGCCTCCTCACTCCTTCCAGGGCCAGTCTAAACCTCGACCTCTATGAGCATCACTGGCCAGGAGCCCAAGGTCCTGAGGGGACTCCTCCAGCCAGGCAGCCACAGGGGCCCTTTAGAGGGGAGGTACGTGTCCCCAGTAGGACCAATTCTTTCAACAATCACCAGAAGGTGACTGTGAGGCAGGCATTGCCTCCTGCAGCTAGTGTTGCTGGCAAGCAGGATGCATCTTTGGGTCCGCCAAACACAATAACTGCAGTGACCTCTCCACCAATCCAACCACCTGTTAAGAGTATACGGGTCATGAGGCCTGAGCCGAAGACAGCAGTGGGACCATGCCATCCAGGGTGGCTGAGTGCACAAGCCCAGGATGCACCAGAGTCTCATGGATACATGCCAGATGAGAATTTTACTCTGGAGCCCAATCAAGAACACCGCTGTCCACCTCCACCCTACCCCAAAACACTGCTCCTGCCTGGATCTGGACCTGGAACTGAGCCTGTATCCCTGGAGACTGGAGCCATGGGTGGATTTCAAGATGTCAATGCTACAAGTAGAACAGTCCAGAGTGCCTCAGTAGGAAAGCAAGAGGAACCAGTCTCCAAAGACAAAGTGAAGACAGGCAAAGGCGAGAAGGCAGTGAAGGATAAGAAGCAGATTCAAACCTCACCTGTGCCTGTGAGAAAGAATGCCCGTGATGAAGAGAAGCGGGAGTCTCGCATTAAGAGTTATTCTCCCTTCGCCTTTAAGTTCTACATGGAGCAGCATGTGGAGAATGTGATGAAGACCTATCAGCAGAAACTCAATCGCAGGATGCAGCTGGAGCAAGAGATGTCCAAGGTAACCAGTACTAAAACTCCATTAACCGAAAAATACACAGATTGATAATTTGCATTCCAGACAATTGTTGTGTTAATTGAGTGTTCAATATCGAGTCTAAATGTCATTGCATTATTGTTATTAAATCAAGCCACCCTCTTCTATCTCTTCCACTCCTCCAGGCTGGCCTTTCAGAGGCAGAGCAGGAACAGATGAGAAAGATGCTTTACCAGAAGGAATCCAATTACAACCGACTACGACGTGCCAAGATGGACAAATCGATGTTTGTCAAAATCAAGACACTCGGCATTGGGGCCTTTGGTGAGGTGTGTCTTACACGCAAAGTAGACACGGGGGCCCTGTATGCCATGAAGACTCTACGAAAGAAAGATGTTCTGAACCGAAACCAAGTAGCCCATGTGAAAGCAGAACGAGACATCTTGGCAGAGGCTGACAATGAGTGGGTAGTCAGGTTGTACTACTCATTTCAGGACAGAGACAGCCTGTACTTCGTCATGGATTACATTCCTGGAGGAGATATGATGAGCTTGCTGATCCGTATGGGGGTTTTTCCAGAGCCCTTAGCCAGGTTCTACGTGGCAGAACTAACGCTGGCCATCGAGAGTGTGCATAAGATGGGCTTCATCCACAGAGATATCAAGCCGGACAACATCCTAATTGACCTGGACGGACACATCAAGCTGACTGATTTTGGTCTGTGTACTGGGTTCCGTTGGACTCACAACTCAAAGTATTACCAAAAAGGTAAGGGACTTGAAGAAAAGGTGATACTCATAGCTTTTAGCTGTTTTAAAGTGGCCTAAATACTGTTGCAGTGTTCACCAAATCAAATGAATTGGTTGTCTTTACTTTCTCTCTTTGCACTGCTTGAATAGGGAACCATATCCGGCAAGATAGTATGGAGCCGAGTGACTTTTGGGATGATGTGTCTAACTGCCGTTGTGGTGATCGGCTGATGACTTTGGAACAGCGGGCAACTCGACAACACCAGCGTTGCCTGGCACACTCTCTGGTGGGCACTCCAAACTACATTGCCCCTGAGGTGCTTTTGCGCAAAGGTACAGAGTGCACAGAGACAACCGGAAATACAAGCTAGTCACTAGGAAGTGCCGTGTTTATAGATCTCTTCTCCTGTTAAGTGTGATACTTTCTAATGTGCAGGATACACCCAGCTGTGTGACTGGTGGAGTGTTGGCGTAATCCTGTTTGAGATGCTGGTTGGCCAGCCACCCTTCCTTGCTCCAACCCCAACGGAGACGCAGCTTAAGGTAAGAGCTCTGTTTGCATTTTATTAGGTCTCTTTGCTTACACGGTTAGTGTAAACCAGTGTGTCCAGTCCTGCTCCTGGAGGGCCAATGTCCAGCAAAGTTTAGGTCTAACCTGACCTAACACACTTGAAAGTTTCTAGTAATCCTGAAGACCTTGATTAGCCGATTCATGTGTTTAATTAGGGTTGGAGCTGCAAGATAGTGGTTCTCCAGGCGAAGGATTGGACAACCCTGATGTAAGCAGACTAGACGTGTTGTCTTTGGTGGAGTTATAACTTTTTGGGTTTTATGGACTTGTGACAATAGGGAAGAGGCACTGCTAACTTTGATGTCGTCACCTCCACGGGTTCCTTTTTTTTTTTTTAGGACTGAAGTAAAGTAGACAGCTTGTCTTTGGTAAATTTTTACATGTTTGGGATATATGGAATTGTGAAAATTAAAGAATAACGTTGTTGTCATCACCTCCATAGGTGATAAACTGGGAGAACACTCTGCAGGTGCCTCCACAAGTAAAACTGAGCCCAGAGGCAGTTGACATCATTGGTCGACTCTGCTGCTCAGCTGAAGAGCGTCTGGGAGGAAACGGGGCTGGAGAGATAAAGGCTCACCCATTCTTTGCCGAGGTGGATTTCTCCAGCAATCTTCGTACACAACCTGCTCCATACAGACCGAAGATTGCCCACCCCATGGATACATCCAACTTTGACCCTGTGGAAGAGGAGGGGGGTCCAGGGGCCTGGCGTGACAGTGGAGACAGCACCCGCACTTGGGACACCCTCTGTTCTCCTCACGGCAAACACCCTGAGCATGCCTTCTATGAGTTCACCTTCCGAAGGTTTTTTGATGATAATGGGTGTCCATTCCGTTATCCCAAGCCCCCCGAGGCAACGCAAGACCTGCCCAACAGTAGTGGGGCTGGTGGCCTGAAGCCTGAGCTGGAGGAGGAAGAGGTTCATGAGGAGGAAGAGCAAGGGGAAGGGTGTGAGCCGGTTTATGTGTGAGAATGTTGGATCGGGTGTTCATGCTGCTCCACCTTTACGCATAGAGGACCTCGCCAGTTAACACGCTGCATCTCCTACACTTCCTTTTAACCCTAGTTTTTATTCAGGGTGTTTGTACAGGTTGTACAGGTTAAATGCATGGAAGAACATCAGAAATGGAGTGCAGAAAGTTCCATGTGAAATGTGTTTATTCCTCCAAAAGCATTATGCCATATCCTTTGCCTGTTAAAAATGACTGAAGCTCTGACCTGGGACCAAGGAAATACACGCAGCTTAGTTCATGGGGACGTTGGTGTGACTGATAAAGTTGGCTACTCTCCTATGAGAGCACAAAAACAGATGCGTGTAGCTGCCGCTCTGTGGTTTGTCAGTCAAATCACTCTACTCTTATGGTTAGTGTGGTCTGCGTCGACTGTGCCCCATTCCTTGATTCCACTGGGGGAAAATATCCCAGTCTTACGTCATATTTAAACACTTCCTTCACCTCTCTCAGCCTGGTGATGCTAACACAGCCATTCCAAACACCAGAGGTCATGGTGAGGGATCAGAAGAGAGTTGGGCTTGGGATGGTGGCTCTATGGTCAGTTTGCGATTAGGAGATATGCCAAGAGCAGAGAGAAACATCACAATTCTCCTCCATAGTGCAAGCCCACAAAAATATAAATGCTTATACATGCAACATGCTGTCAGTAACAAATGTGGAGGTTTGCATTTTTTTTTCTTTTCTTTTTTTAAATAAAACTAAACTGACTTTTATAGTAAAATTCAGAAACATTTTCTGAAGTATGGAAGCCAGATTTGCAGATGTCCTACCGTATGTTCCCAGTCATTTTCACTTAATTTATCTAAAACAAACAATATGTTTTAGAAGATTTTGTGGCACCACCAAGTGGTTCAAAGTGACACCGTAAACAGTCATGCGGATTCTTTTAAAGATTTAACTTCTACATTATGAACTGACAGTATTAGGTCACTTCTTCATGCAAAGTCTGTCCAAAAGATCATGCAGTATTTTGCAGTTAATACACTAATCGCAGCCTTTCTGGAAATATTATACAGTTATACATGTTTCATGACTTATCAGGTCAAATGGTGCTCTCAGATGACACAATATTGAGACAAAATATTTTACGTACAGTCAGCACTTCAAGAACGTGGGATCTTAAAACTCCCATTATTGTTAAAAGTTTTATATTAACTTCTTTTAAATGTTAAACAACCCATTACGTTAGAGATAAAAAAAATATGCAGAAATATGCATGGTAACATTTGTTCATTCAAATGAAATACCACAAAAAACATTGCGATATTGACATTTTTATTTTGTGTTAAGTGTGTTAGTTTAGTTGCCGAAGTACTGTTTTATTCATTTGATAACAAACGCTTATCTCACCTGGCTTGATTTATTTTGTTTTAAGGCTTACTAAACCTGTTCCCAATAGTTGCTTTACATTCATCTGCTGCTTTAAGTGTATCGAAGATGTGCGTCACACATTGTTTTTAGAGGTGTGCTGCAGACATGCAACTGGACATCCAGAACAAATCTGCAACATAACAGTTTTCAACTTTACAAAGTTACAAGAGCTGGGTCTCCAGCTATTTCCTTTTCTTGTTATGCCGAAGACTTCATATGCTTTTCATTGTATAACTCTGTCTGCTTTACCTTCTTCCTGTTTCCCAGAATTAATTGCATTTAGTTTCATAAGAAGATCTTAAAAAGTCAGACGGGTGGTTTTTGTTGTGTGTGTTCATGCTCATCCAGATCCACTGGAAATGATCTGGTCTGTCGCCATCAGTGAACTTTGAAACAGAATCATTAGAACAAGAGCAAAAATGTTTTGTCATCGAGGCTGCTGCTGCACCATTTCAAAGTGATCACACAGTACAGTATTATAACAAGACAGTCTATGACTGAAATGTAAAGAATACTCGGCAGCAGAAACCTTTAAGAAATGGTGAAAAAGTGGCAAGAGAAAAGACAAATGTATCTGATGGTATGACTATGTGCAATACAGAAAATACATTATATAGTTTTCTAAATACAACAAATAGCCTTTATAACTTTAAAACTGAATTATGCTATCTTAAAGTATATATTATATTGATTTATATATTTTCAGTATAGTTTCATGACCCAATGCTGCTTATTGTTATTAATATTACACTATAAAGTATAATTATCATCATACTTTCATTTATACTTTCTCTCTCTTTTTGTATAAAGTGTGGTTTTGATTGTCAGTGTGATTGATCTGGTGTAAGATGAACTGTGTGCCTTCTAATGAATGTGTGGGTGTGTGTACCATGTGCTGATCAGTATTTCAGGAGAAGATGGAAAAGGCCTTCGCTTCTTGCTCTCAGGCCGGTCCTGGGTGGAAGAGAGAGGGGTGTTTTTGGTGGGATAGCTTGAGAAAGACAAAAAAGAAGCAAGAATGGATGATAGTCATTAGGACTCTGAAGGAGATGTATATGGATGTCTTAGCCGGATGAATGTGGAAACACATTGTATGCATTTGATCAGTGATAAGGATCGTTTTGAATTTCTGCATGAAGTCCATTTAATATTGTCTTTCTGAGATCTAATCATTTGTGGTGATAATGGGTCACTGCACAAAATGTTCTCTGTATTAATTATTATCTCTCAAGCTGACTGACAATCATGTGGTTACGTGCTTGCAGTCAATATTGTCAAAAATCCTGTACGACCGCTGACTGAAAGAGCTTTAAAAAAAAAACTGCCGATGATGATCAATTCATATTTGTTTTATATATTGTATCAGTACGATCACTCCTAAAAGTTAAGTGAAACCTTAACAAACATATTGTAATGTAAACGTATATACCAAGTCAAATTGGTATCATGCCTTTGGTCCGATCAAACAAGTTGATTGAGCTCCATGGAGCGTGAAAGCAAGTATGGCAGATGTTTTGCTACCCCGTATTTGTCAGAATGGACCACTCAGTGAAAAAGCATGAGCTTTCTATGAATCTCTCAGAGAGTCAGGTTTAGGGTTTGAATGTAATGCGTGTGTTGTGCTTAGGATGGATTCTGTTTTACTTTTTTTTATTTTTTTTTTTAATGTTGACTGACAATCTTTGACTGTATTTAGAATTGTGTGATGATGGGACTTTTTCTCTAATGTATGTTTTTGTATTTTAATGGATGAATGGGTTGGGACTTTTTGACGTTTGTAATCTTTTAACTGTATTATATAATAATGTTACTATTGAACATATATTTATACAGATATACATATTTTTTGTATCCCTTTATTCTTATTTTTCTCTTTTCTGAGCTAACTTTTGAACCCCCTTGTCTACAGTATTACAGACAGTGTGCATTTGGATTTATATCTCCTTTTTTACATGTATGAATTGAGAATGTTTAAGAAATGCTTTCACTGTCCTCATTTGTAAATGTATATGTCTAAATTAAATTAAACAAATCATCCTCTTGTTTTGAGTTGTGTGTGTGTGTGTGTGTCTTTAGAGGTGTCTGGGCCTCACCCTAGATATTTTTAGCTGATGTAACACATCAGAGCATGAATGTCTTTCTTATTAACCCATTTATTTCCAGCAATAATTTTGTCACCAAAATTTACTTTTTATTATATTTTACGTTTGAAGTCAGTCAAATTACAGTTATGATTACATACAGGATGAATATTTTTTTACATCATGGCTGATGTAAACTCTTGATGAGGTCTATATCAAAAACGTCAAAATACAGATACTTCATGCATTTAACAATTGAAATGGTCTATTATTAAGATTGTGATGAGTTATTTCAGAGAGATCAATGATTACAATAATGTCAATACCACTGTTGTCATAATTAGTATGAAAGCAGATTAGTTGTGATTAGTATCAAAACCTTTTTTAATAATAAAACTGCATATTTCTAGGTATTATTACATTAAATTAAGTACAAGTGCAAATAAATGATGCATTTTTATCATTCCCTATCCACAACCACCTAAAAGTAAAAATATTGTACATTTATTTTATAATCAATTTTGACTTTGTAATATTCCAGCAGTCACAGATGTGAATAAAAATGCACCTGCTCACATAACTGAATGTTTTGGGAATAAATTGGTTGTTAAATACTAATAAGATAAACACTAGCAGAAATTGACAGTGCTGTCTAAAAATTCAAGTGTGTCTTCATCAAATGCAATCCTTAAAATGAAAACAAACACATATAAATACTAAAAGTCAGATTTTACCTTTCAACAAAATGATTAAAAGGTATAGCACATTATCATGTAGGCTATTGCATAACCTTTAAGGGGACATCAGGGTGCTGTCTGCCAAAAAGTGCCTGCCTGTGAACTCACTGGCCGAAGTGCTGCTTAATCCCACAATGCAGTGCATGGCGCGTCACTGAAGAACGACCATGATGGCGGCGGTCGGTGCACCAGAAGTGATTTCACAGCTGGAAAGCGCTGCCAAAGTTTTAATGGTGAGCATTTCGCCGCCGTTTTCACATCTCTGTCAGTGTGCTGTTAGCTCTGTATGGGGGGTTCACTCTGAGGGAGTCTCGCGGCTCGTGGTTTAGCGGGGAAAGTCTCGATAAACGCGGAGCGGTGCGTGGCGCAGTGCTCGACTCTCTCCATCCCGCTAAACCCAGCGCAGCCACCATCACCTTCATCATCCTCTTCATCACCTCCGCCTAACAGCACCGCTCCGGTGACACAGTCAGTGTTTGTAATGATCGCTGTGAGCTCAGGTGTTGTGTCTCAGAGGCCTAGTTTGATCCTCCAGCCTTGTGAAAGCGCGCAGGATGAGTTGAAGTGTGTCTGCTGGAGTTTCTTCATCAGCTGCAGTAGTTACACACGCTGTTGATTCAGCCTCATGTTTGCTCAAGCACATGTTTAGCAAGACTTAAGGAGACCAGAGACAAAAGAGAAACTTTTAGTTTCTTGTTTATCTCATAATAACCCCAATCCTCCATTTCTGCCGTTAAAAGAGTTGACTAGCTACATAGTGGGCTAGCTTAAAGTTGAGAGCAGGACATGTGCAGTTAGATGATGGCCTGTGCAATTTGCTAGTATTGTCTCAGAACCTGTCTAGACAGCATTTCTGGGAATCATTTGGACAGAATGATATGAATTGAATGGTGTGTGTGGTTGTGTAAAGATACTGCAATGGTAAAATCTCATGGCACTTTTCATAAGGTTTTCCACTTGAAGCTTAAAGAGTGAAAGTGATTCTTGATTTTCAACTCAGTGTTTTTATTTGTTGAATCGGTTAGCCTCTAGTAGTCTGTGAAGCATTTAGTCCAGTGTTTTCATCTTAAGTTCACAAATAAAAACATTTAGTGCTATTGTAACTGGATTTAGCTGTATTTTAATTGGAGATATTGATATTTATAGAGAAGGGTGGCTAATTTATTGCAAGTGTATGGCATCAATTGTTGATATTAAATAGGAAGTACATTATATATCGACAAGGCTGTGGGTGAATTTTGAAAATGACACCAGGAACAGCTTTCACGTGTATTAATTTAGTGTGGATACCTAGTTAGCAGCCAATGCCAATAATCTCAAACTGTTGCCTTCCTAAAAAATAGTTTGCATATTGTTTTATTAATATTGTTAATGCTAGAGGTCTCTGAAGAAAATATTTGCACTACCATATTCACACTAGGTCAGTAAGATTTCTTAAATGTTTTGAAATAAGTCTTTTATGCCCACAAAGGCTGCATTTATTTGATCATGAATACAGTAAAAAAAGTAATATTGTGAAGTATTATTACAATTTAAAATAATCGTTGTTTTATTCCTGTGATGGCAAGGCTGAATTTTCAGCAGTCATTACTCCAGTCTTTAGTAGGGATGTAACGATTCACTCAACTCACGATTAGATTCAATTCACCATTTTGATTTCACGATTCGATTCATGATTTTTTTTTTTTACAAAATGAGATTTTAATTTAAATTAAGACAAATTATAAATTAAATGTGTCCTTTTATTATTGCTTGGACAAAATACTGTACGTTTCTTTGAAATTGAAATATAACACTATAATAATATACTAATATAGCACTTGTAAATTATTGCTCTTTTGGTGGTTTTGATTGCTTCTAGTGTCCTCATTTGTTAGTCGCTTTGGATAAAAGTGTTTGCTAAATAACAAAATTTAAATATAATGTAAATGTAAATAACAAAACTAAATTGAAATTTTAAAACAAGCACCAAATCAAATAAATAACACAAATAAAATAAATCTCTTCATATAAACAAAATAAGGCTTTGTCTGTGCTCTTTGCATTTAAAATGAGAGGCGACCACTGCATTTTAATCATGATCCAAACAAAGGTGCTGCATACATGAAACATGAACAGTTTTTAATATAAATTAGATTGTATAATTTCGAAATTTGACACAAAAACAGAATGGTTTGACTTCAGTTTTGTGAAACTATACATAAAAATATCTGCATGAAACAGCAACATCACACGAGCTGAATGAGACGCAGATTCACTCTCTGCCAGCAGGTGGCGCTTAAAGTGTTTCCTGGTTTCCGCTGTAAACAAAGCAGCGCTGCACTTATGAACTTTAATATGCATTATACAGAGGCAAGAGGAAAAGAAAAAATACCATCTAAACTTTACTAAAGCCAGTAAGTTCCCCTCAGACATACATTCATGTAAACTCCTACCCCTAATTGAATCGCGCGATTTGTTTAGCATCTCAACCGATTTGAATCGTCATATATTTAAATCGATTTTCAACAGGCTCGCGGTTAATCGTTACATCCCTAGTCTTTAGTGTCACATTATCCTTCAGAAATCATTCTAATATGCTGATTTGGTTTGCTGAAACATTTCTTATTATCAATGTTGAAAACAGTTGTGCTGCTTGATATTTTTGTGGAATATTTTTTAAACAATTTTTTTATAAAGTTTAAGTGGAAATAGATGAAACATTGTCACTTTTGATTAATTTAATGCATCCTTGCATAATTAAAAAAAAAAAACATCTTACTGACTCCAACATTTTTAATGGTAGTGTAGTGTGCCAATATAAACTGATGATGTGGAACGATCACGTTTTGTAGTCTGAATGCTTTCTGTATTGGATTGGGATTATAAGCAGCTAGGTGTGCATCATTTACTGCCATGATATTTTTATAAAAATGTTTTCATAAAATCACTCAAAATATTGTAAACAATTTTGCTGCCATTAGATTCAATCTAAAAAGGCGGTAAATATTTTAAATGGCCCAAGTATGTTTTTTTTTTAAACCTCTTAATAATTCTCTCCAGTCATCTATCATGAAGCCTGACCAGTCCTCTGCTGGGTAGATGAGTAGTTATGAAGTCAGAAAACTCTAGGTTTTGTCATGGTTATTTTTCAGCAAGCAGAAAGGTCAGACTCTAACAGTAGAGATCAGGTATTGATTTGTTGTTGTGGATCCCTGATCATCAGTCAGACTCACTGATGTCACTGCAGTCATTAGTTAGTAATTGTGTCATTACAGTGTAGTATCACTACAGTCGTTTATCATGATATAGAATCAATAGATGGATGAATTGATTTTAGTCTGCTAATAAGTGAGGATTTATTATCAAGATGTTCAACAGACCAGATTCAGTATTGCTAGAATGCATTTTTAGTCATTTATGTGAAAAGTGACATTCATATAAACATGTTATTTGCAAAACGTCAAATAAAAAATGGAATATTTCTCCATCTTCATGACCAGATACTTTTGCTTCATGTTTTCTTTCAGGGTTCCATAGCTCTTCATGACCATACTGAACATCATTACGTAATTAACTGACCTTGTGTTGATATCACTGGGTAACGTTAAATAATAAAAAGCACACATGTGCATGTCAGTGCTTTTAGGGATGACTGTGCTATTGTCTTTTGTCTACCAGGGGTCAAACCACCTTTATAAAAAAAACTACCTTCAGTATCTGTGTGAAGCTGAATGTGTTTGAACCCTAAATTAAATGCAGAAGAGAATGTTATCTGAAAAACAAATATACCCGTTGTGTTTGTACCAGTCGGTCACAGCATCGCCACGAGGCATAATCTGACCGTGACTTTTGGTTTAAGCTTGGTTTAAAGTGAATGTCATACTGATAAACTAAATGAAATTAGTAGATTAGCTTGTTACAGCCTTAATGTTTTGTACAAATTGGTAATATGCAGTTAATATTTCATATCAACAAATGTCTCTACACTGCTCTCTGTGAAGCTTGGGCATACATGGATTCAGCCTGATCTTGATGCTGCTAAATTTATGATCAAGAGCTAAGCAATCAATATCCACAGGAGGCAGATAGCCTTTGAGTGAAATGAAGCATTAGA